CCCCGGCGGGGGGGGTGGGGATGGGGTCCACCATGCAGCACCAGGTGTGGGTGACTATCCGCTCAGCATCCCCTGTGTCTGTCCCCATTCCCCCACAGCTGCCAGCCTCCGGGAGCGTCAGCTGGCCCAGGAGATGGCTGCCCAGGCGCTGGCCGAGAAGGATGTGACCATCACCCAGCTGCAGAGCAGGCTTGATACCATGGAGATGGAGTATGAGAAGATCCTCCATGTGAGTGGGGATGTGGCTGTGGGTGGCTGCCCCAGGCAGCGCAGCAACCCCTCCTCACTGTCACCTCTCCCTCCAGGGCAGCCTGGACCTTGTCTTGGCCAAGCTGGCAGGGGCCAGCCAGTACTGGGAGGAGATGGGTACATCCATCTCCCTGGAGAACAAGGAGCGCCTGCAGGAGTTTGGCCTCAACCCCCTGGAGATATAGCACCCTGGAGACCCCCAGGAGAGGACGGGCTGGCCAGGACCTTGCCTCCCCATGCCTTCAGATTCCCCATTCCCATTGCCCACCACCCTAGCTCCCTTGGGCCAGGCAAGAGGACAGAGATGATCGCTCTCATCTGGCCTTGGGACATGCTACATGCTGCTGAGACGCAGACCTCTCTGTAACACTACTCACATGAGCAGCAGTGAGGATTTGTCTTTTAATCACATCCCATGGGTGACATAGGAACAGTGCTGTGATGGGGGCAGGTACCCACCACCCCTGGGTTTGCAGGAAGGATGGGGTGAGGAGCTCAAGGGAGAGGAGAGGTTCATGGAGTGGCAGACCTGAGCCAACAGGCTGAGCCCTGGGGGCCCATGACAAGCCTTGGGGCTTCCTCTAGGGAGCCATGGCCTCTGACACTCACTTTCCCTTTTGCACACTGGCCCTGGGGCCAGCTCCTGGGCTGAGCCAAGCCCCCGGCTGCCCAGCCGCCTGGGTCATGGCTTGGAGAGCACTGCCTCAGCTCTCCTGAGAGCCTGCTGGAGCCTGGAGCTGGATGGGAGGTGAGGGCTTCAACGCAGTGTCCCCAAATACCCCTGGAGGCAGCTGGACAGGCAAAGGCACAGGTCAGTCTTCAGAATATAAGAAGCCACCGTGGTGGTTAATAAAAGCTTGGGTCCAGCTGTGGACAACGGAGAAAAATCTCAGGGAGGTGGGAGGCTGCGAGCCCCCTCCCAAGCATGGAGATGTGGCAGCTGTGTGCCCAACGGCCACGCTGAG